TTCGAAAACTTCATAAAAAATCGTGCAACTTTTGTATTTCACATTTTTTTATAACTCTTAAAACAAAAAAGTTAAAAGGGGGTCAAAATATAGTGAATCACCCTGTACATTAAAAAAAAGAATCATCAAAGTAAACTAAAGCCTTAAAAACTTAAAATAAATAAATCATGAGCTGGTAGAGAAACCACTTTAACCGCTCAGTTATTTGTCGAGAAACGAATTGAACGCATGAACGAAACGAACTCCAGTCAAGAACTTAAGACGCGCGTGATTTTTAAATTTCTCGATTTCTCGATTTCTCGACACTTTTTTCTCGTCTCGAGTAAGGCCAGATTTCCCGGGAATTCTCGCTTCGAGAAGTCTCGACCAGAAACCCTACTGCTTATGTTGGCGCCACGGAAGTACGGGATTACATAATTTCCCTTCCTAGGTACCATTTTTAGAATACTTTATTTTTATTTTATGCGTTTATACACACATCTTTACATATTTTGGTATAATCTCAGAGTACTTTATTTATTAGTTTGAGGGGTATAATAACTATGAGTTATGATATATGATATGCTACACATACATCCATAAATACACTTGAAGTGTAATTAGGATTGCCTAATACAGAGAAAACAAAAAATATTAGACTAAACAAATTTGAAAAAGGGGCTTAAAGTAAAATTTCTCATTCCATACCATACCATTACATTTTTATATCTTTTATATATATAATAAAATAGATTTTTTTTAAATACATATAATTATACTTATTATTATTACTTCCATAAATTGACAACATCTTTGCAGACTTATGGGCGGAAAAAATTAAAAAAGCTAAACCTCTAGTTAAAAATGTAGGAATTTATATTTTTCTGTAACAGAAACTGTACCCATAATTGTACTTTTTAAAGTGAGTTATAAAATTCCCTAAAGTGCTAATGTATTTTGGCGCGGCCTAATATGGTCGAAATAAATTTCTTAAATCTCGATGAAATTCAAATACAATTAATTAACACAAGTTTTGGGGAGGGCGAGGTTGATTATCACAAGTTTAAAAGTTTTATATTTTCAAACGTTTGTCTAGATTTGTGGACAATTCTAAATGGAAAAAGTGTTGTTGTTTTCAAGAAATTTCAACACAAATACCCATATTAAATACAAGTAAAAGTTATTTTATTTAAAACATATTTCCAAATAGTATATGTACAATTGTACAGACAGGGGCGATACATTATTTGATATCTTACGGTTGTCTGACTGCGAGGTTCGAACCCGCGGTCTGATCAACGAAGACTAGAAATTGATGACGATGTAGGAAATTTATTTAGGGTACCAAATTTTACCGAAACATGCTGTTGATGCAATTTTTGTTAACCACATTGCAATTATTGACTTATTATTAAGTTTTCTTTCATAAATGCAAATATTTATTTGTATCCAAACATTTTATTGAAAACGATCTATTAAACCAGAGTACCAGTACCATTTACAATTGTTACCTATCAAGCAGAATTTTGAAAAAGTAGAAAAGAAACTAGTTGTGTTCACCTCACACCCGCCGACACTACTTCTTTCGAAATATATAATTATGTATTAGATTTTATTTTTATTTATAATACATTTTATTAATTTTACCCGTAGAAACTTTTTCCTTAGTTTGTTATACATTTTTAACACTTTGTATAAAACTAACATTCTTTTTACGAATTTTAGCTCAAAACTTGTATAAGAAAAACAAATACAGTTTATCCGATGAAGCAGAGAAAATTAGTCGCAAAATACAGGTAATAATAATTAGTTTATGCATTTTCTGGACGGCTTTTGTAATCCTTTTTTCACTAGAACTTAAACGAGGCCAAGGTAAGTCTAAAGGACACAAATTTTATATCATCAGACTGGAAGAAAACTATAGAGGGTCTGCAGTTGAGGCTAACCGAAACTCTAAACCAAAACAATGAGTTAAAGTCGATCATTAACTCCCTTCAACTGAAACTGAAAAATGAGTCGCTTAAAAATAAGGTAATCAGCTAGTTATTCCGTTCTCAAATATAATATAAATATTTATTATTCCTCCTATGTTTTAGGAACAAAACGATTGTAACCAAAAGAAAACAGAATTGCGAAAAAGGGAAATAGATGCATTGCAGCAAATTCAAGCAGATAACGTTAAAAAATTGGAAAAGACTTTTCACGCAAAACTTGATGAGGCAGAGAGAAGTTATCAGCAGAAAATAGAAAAATTTAAAACTAATTACGAAACGAAAATTAGAGAATTACATGCCAAGAATGACCACTCGAAGAAAGACAAGGATTTCGAAATGTGTCGTTTATCTGAAGTTATTCAGCAGCACTGTATAAGGTTAAATATTATATTACACTAGAGAGATACAGTCGCGGATCTATGTAGGTCGGTTGTCTATCTTCTGTCATAGCCCCACGATGGGCGCCATGACTCGAATTGCTATGTATGCTATGTATTCGGTCTGGTTAATTCTCGGTGGAGTTGACCTACTCTCATCTCCCCTCAGCATATTGAGAGAGTCGTAAACCCTCCTAATGGGTCCGGAAGTAGGGTCCGTTTTATCTGGGGTGCTGGGGGTCTCAGGTATGTTATTTTGACGTTAGACGCTGGGACCGTCTAGGAAAGACGAGGCGTTCTTCCTCCATTGTGAGTTCTACTTGCTTTGGGCTGATGACCCACAATCTAATTTGTCTTTCTTGTTTGACCTAAGACGCGTTTTAGACAGTGGCACTTGGTTTTATTAAAAGTTTGTATTACTTGAACTGTTTTGTGTAACGGTTTTTTTTATTAAACCCTAGTGTTTGAAAATCACCTTTTCTTTGCAGTAGTTAAAAGTATTAAAAGTAGTAAAAAAGTAGTAAAAAGTATTTGCTGTAATGTATACGGCCTCCGAAGAGTACCGGTACGTCAAGCTTTTAGAAGCTTGAAAATATTGCAGAGTGAAAGCTATGTATCAGAGCGTTGCTCTCGGTTTGCATAATTTTTAGGTGAATTATAACTCGAAATGAGGTTTAAAAATTCATGCGCTTTACTGACTCTTTTGGAAATAGTAATACCTACATATGGCAATGCGGTGGTTGCGATACGAATTCTTAATAGTATGTCGAGTACACATTCTGGTCAGGCGACTATGCTCTGGTTAAATAACTGCGGAAATTATGGGTTAGCGTTCGTACACTCTAGGTGGCCCGTTGTACGGTTTATTAGTTCCAGAATTTTTTGAACAGAAATTACGGCGTCCTTTTTGGATACAGCTGCCTCTAAGGGGTTGGGAGTCTGAAACTACTGTTAATACCGAGTCTAAGGTCTTTTAGGGTGCGAATTTTAAGTCTCCTGGCTATTGTTATTTTCGCCGCTTTTTTGGAAAGTGGGACGAAAAATTTTGACACTCTTGGCCTTTGTCGGTGACTTTAGGAAAAGAGTGGCTCATCGTCCGAGGGAATGGAGGACTCTTGGAGAGGAATGCAGCGCTTGGTCGTGGATGTGTGTAACGATTCTGGCGGTAGCTGCGACGTCTACCGATATTCTTGGAAAGATTGGTGAAAAATTTAGTTTGTTTGCGAACTCTCTTTATATGGGCTGACCTGCTCTACGAGGTTGATGTTCCTATTTTGCGCCGGGAACTGCGCCATATGGGCCTCTCTTGTAAAAATATTGCGGCTATTCAAAACATAGATTAATTTTGCATTGCATACTACGTGAATGTCATTTCAATAACTTCTTTTTAGAAACAATAATAGAGCTAATTTGTAATTTTTTAAATTTTGACTTGTAAAACTTAAATATCGATTTATTTTTTTTAATTTTAGAATGTCGAAAGAAATATCTGCATTACGCATTCAAATCGAAAACGCGTTTTCTAACCATAACAACGACGACAAAATCATCGTTCTGCAAAAATGTGTTTCGAAAATGGATAAACTGTTTCAAAGGTCCGAAAAGGAATACCAAAAACAAATTGACAAGTTAAAACAAGAATTGGATTTGAAGGACAAAGTCATGCAGGTAAGGTCGATGCAGGTAAAATTTTTTAGATACTGAAAATTAGTGGGCATGTGCAATGCAAACTTAAATGTTGATGATGTTATGTATTGTTGACTGAAATTAACCTGTGGCCCTACGCGAAATTAATTTTACATCATTAAAAAATAATATGTTCTATGAAGTTTTTAACAAATCCAATTTATTTTTCAATCTTACACGAAATTAATTTGGAATAAACTAGAATATTAGATATTTGTATACTGTCTCAAATTTTCTACTTTCCTTTCATTTATCAATCAAAGTATAGTGTAACATGCAGAATAAAAAAAATTAGAAGTTTAAAAAATATTTGGAAATGTTTTGGATATCAATACAAGTAAATCTGAGCATATACTTGAGTCAAGTCATTATTTTTTTTATAGATTCAGTTGAAGACGCAGCGTGCAGAATTAATAGCCCGAAGTAGTGTTGAAAAACAAAAGCAATTTGATGAAGTTATCAATAATTTGGAGATTAAATACATAAAAATGTTGGAATTCCATGAGAGTCAAGTCAACCAAACCAAAGGGCAAGACGAAAAGAGAATTGAACAGTTAAAACATTTGTTAGATAAAAATAACATCCCTTATGATGTCTTGTGATAATTTGTAAGAGTAACTTGTAGCCATTGATTTGTAACGTAACTAACGTGTTTTGTAAATAGTAAATGATCTTGTCCAATACTTAACATTATATAATAAATTCTGCAAATAAACAGGACTATTTTAATTTTATCCCTTCTACCCTTGTCTTCTATTTAGTAATATTTTAAATGCAAGGCGGCAACGGCGGCATCTGTCACCTGTTCCTCAGGAAATGTGTAGGTGGCGCAGTTGCAGCAGTGAGACAAACATGGCGTTGAGTGGTTAACGTGTAGTGATGTGTTGACAATAAATTTATAGTTTTTTAAAATGTCCAGTACTCCATCGACTCGTCGAAATGGTTCAGAAAAAATTCGACTGACAAGTAAGTCGACTATATATTAAAATTTGGAAAAACTAAATTATACAATACTAAAAACGTGCATTGTTTGAACTGTCAAACAATATGGCCTCATTGAGGACCTCCCAAGATTATTAATTTGTGAATCTGTGATGTAATATATTCATTAATATATTCTTTTTTCAGTTTTGTGTGCGAGAAATTTAGTTCGCAAGGATTTATTTCGTAAGTATCTCAAATTAATAGTTTATGAAGCTAGTTACTTTTAAAATAAATTTTGTAGTTCAGTGAAGTTGTTTTACAAAATTGTTTTATTTTAGGGCTGCCTGATCCTTTTGCAAAAATTTCTGTGGATGGTACTGGACAGTGTCATACAACAGAGACTCAAAAAAATACGTTAGATCCGAAATGGAACTCTCATTATGATTTATATATTGGGAAAACAGACACAATTACAATTTCGGTGTGGAATCACCGCAAAGTGCATAAAAAACAAGGTAGTGGGTTCTTGGGATGTGTGCGAATTGTGAATTTTCTTATTCAGAGACTGAAGGATACTGGATGTAAGTACATTATAACTTATTATTTAATTTGCCGTGTTCTTCGATCATTAAAATATTAAGTAATTTTTTTTGCTTAGTTTCTTATTAGACGCTTTTGAATAAAGTATCATGTTGTACTTCAGAAAATAATACATAAGTTAAAGATATTTTATATGCAACACATTTTAATATTCAAATGCTAGTAGAATATTGATGAGTAATTTTTATAATGCCATGTACTAAGTAATATTATAGTGATATAAGTAGAATGTATTTTTTTTTTACCTGAATATATAAAAAGTATTATAATGTTTTAAAATTCGAAGGAAATTCTAGTACTTAAGTAGTTCCATAATCTTTTTGAATATTCAGTGCAGACGTGTAACAATATTTTTATAGTACTTGGTAAAAAGTATTAAGGTATTAAACACATAGTGAAACTTAATCGAGTCTTAAAACGAATCCCTCATTAAGATATGATCTCTAGTAAGATAGTGTCTTTAATGATCTTTAAAAAGAAATTGAAAAGCATAATTTTTTTAATTTCTTACGATATTAAAGTTTGCTTAGGTATTAAATTTAGATTATACCTACACTTTGTGTAATTAGGTTAAATATGTCACCTGTCAAGAAATATAAAAGTATATGATTTATTTGAAAAGCAGATATATTTTAGTTTACTGATAAAATTTTTAAATTGGAATTGGAATTAGATTAGAAGTTTTTTTTCATGGTTCTATGTTATTTTTTTTACGTGTAATATTGCTTGTCTGGCAAATAGATGTAAGTGACAAAAAAGAATCAGATAAAAAGGCATAATATCCAGTACTACGAGAATAATGTTTATTTGAGACTTTTTTATATTGTTTTCCTGAAAAATTACTCAAGCAAACTTTATAAAACTAGTGATATTTTTCTCATACATACATTTTTTTAAATTTTGTACAACGGTGTGGCATTTTATAGAATTTACGTAGTAATTATCCAGGCAATTATACAAATCTGAAATATATTTTCAAGTTTTGATTTGTATGTAATTTTTTGTCAGAAAACTATTGTGAATAATATTTTTAAATTATTATTTAACAAAACAATAAATTAATCATTTTTAATAATTTAAAACTTCAGTTAAATTGGTTGTAGCAATTTATTAGAGCTGTAAAATATAATTTCATTTGCTGTTACGTATGTACTTAAATTATGAACGAGTGATGAGATTTTTGTATTTTAAATTAAGTAATTTATTTTGATCTTGTCACAAATGAATGCAAAGAGCAGCTTATTTTTTAAATTTAAATTTCAGTCTTGCCTTATAAGGGCAGTTAAGTAGTATATATTGTGGAATTTATTATCCGTATTTACTTGTTTCTTATTTACATAACCAGAGTGACTTACATAAGACGGTTATTACATTGCTGAACTTTTTTATTTACTCACCCATTCATATTAGCCTAACGTGATTGTAAACATGTTTGTTGTGCATATTTTGTAGGAAATGTAAAGGTGGTGTGATGTTGTTTATTGGTATTAATAGTCGTATCAGGTTTGCAAACACCCAAACAAAAGTGCACAGGTATTATTCAACTTATCGTTATTATCCTTGCATTGCTCGAAACGTGTAACTTCTGTTATATAACTGATATGATGTGAACGATAGTGGTTGTTAATATGACAGGTTGATGTTATTTTTCAAAGGAATAGATAGTACCCTGCATCCGAACAAAAAATTTCATTAATTAAAGAAAATTATAGGTAACTGAAATAGATTTGAAGAATGTAATTTTCAGTAAAATAATTCATTTTTGTTTAAACATTTACTATTATTTTTTCAATCTGACTTTGTTAACATTAGCATGCACACCATATACAGGGTGTTTCACATAAGAAGCGACACAGAGCAGAGGCATATAGGAGAACCCAAATATGGTGGTTTAACGCGACTTACCTTTATACTAAGCTGCACCCTTGATAAGTTATAGACCTTGAAAATGCGGTTTCAAATTTCGAAAAAAATCAATGTCAGTTTGACGCTTTAGTACGAAAGCATGCTATCACAGATTTCGGTTAGAAAACATGCTAGTTCAATTTTCAGTTAGAAAATATGCTATCTCAAATTAAGCTTGGAAAACATGCTAGCTCAGATCTTTAAGTAAAAACATGCTATCTCAGTTTGACTAGAAATATAAATTGGCATGAAATTGGAATGATTGAAACCGTGCATTTATAATAAACTTATACATATAATATATTTTTCAAACAGTAAGGAATATTTAAGATCTGAGCTAGCATGTTTTCCAAGCTTAATTTTGAGATAACATGTTTTCCAATCGAAATTTGAGGTAACATGTTTTCGCACTAAAGCGTCGAGTTATAGTTGAGGAAAAGTTTTAGAATTAAATTCCCCATAAAATAAAGTAATAATTTTTTAAGCTCGCCAACGGGTTAAATTTTGTCACATTTTAATGGTGCATCATCCCTTATCAAGCTTTAAAATGCTTCAATTGAACTGTACTTATTGTCGATTAATGCTCTTGGTACACTCACACTGTGTACCAAATTTGGTTTTTCTAAGTTCAAGTAAACTGACATATTGATTTTTTTCGAAATTTCAAACCCCACTTTCAAGGCCTATAATTTCTCAGGGGTGCAGCTTAGTATAAAGGTAAGTTGCGTTAAATTACTATAATTTGGGTTTCCCTACATGCCCCTGGTATGTCGGCTTTTATGCGAAACACCTTGTATATTATAATACCTCAGTTACTAATAAATAAGGCTGTTAGAGAGAGCCGCAATTCAATGGCGTGTCTAGCAGGTCAACCGAGACATGCGTGAGCCGCTGCCTCAGAATGCTTTTCACGTTCAGGTCACGGTAGTATACTGTTGATTTGTTTTCGTGCGGATGTTGCGTAATTAATTCCTATGCGTTGGTGTTTATGGTGTTGTATTGTAGGCAATTTAATTTGTTGCTTTTTAATAAATAATTCATACGCCTTTGCCCCGCGGCTCAGTTCTGACAGCCCTACTAATAAATATTATTAAATATATTCTCTTAGCAAAACATCAAAATTAACCTAATGTCACGGACATACGTTTTGTTTTTTAATGATTTGAAAAACAATATTTTCTGGTTCATAAAATTATCCTGTTTGTTTCCACATAACCTTGTAAAATGAAAAATATGTAGTTATAATCCGAGTGTATCATTTATATTTTGTGTGATTTACAAAAACATTTTATTGTTTTGATTACATTTGTTTGACCAAATATAATAATTTTGCCGCTACGGTGTTTTAAACAAATATTCGTGCTTCTTAAGAAAAGCAGGATTTTAAATAGAAAAAGAGTTTTACAATCTGCTTTAGAAGATGTCTATGGACATAATTAGTTAAATTTAATACTATGTTTATTTTCAAAAGTAAATTAAAATATTGTCGAAAATTTGATACTATAGGATTGTTTTCTCGGAAATCGTTAATTTGGAACAAAATGGCATTGAAACACATAAAATTTCTTGATTTCGATTGCATTACATTATTTCCGTATTCTTTGCGAGGATGGTCACTAAATTATACAATTCTTTATAATAAATATGTATGTTTCTCGTAGCGCAGATGATTATGCATTATAGCTGTTTTACATTGACAATTTATTGATCAATTAATTCATGAAGTCACTTCATCAAGAAATTGGACAAGTGTAATGCACCAAATCAGCTGTCAAATAACTTCATCAATTTATTCATCAAGTTCTTGACGAATTAGAGCATCTTCTAATTTTCGTCAATTTCTTCGTGAAGTTCGGAAATATCAACCCAACAGATTTCCAGCCTCAGATCAGTAATGAGGTTATGTTATTGGAATATGTAAATAATTGTGTGGCGTGACATTTTTGAAATTTATTTGCTTCATTGATTCATTGGTAGAACCGATTCATGCGCCAAAAAACTTGACAAAGTCCGTAGCAGTGTAAAACCACACTGTTTATCAATAAATTCGTGAATTAATTGATGAAGAACTTCGTCAATTTATTGATGAATAAATTGTCAATGTAAAACAGCTTTAACTTTTTAAAAAATTTCAATTTACAGTGTGACAAAATCCTTAAAAAATTACGGTTTCCGATATAACACTATCATCATGTACGATTCAGATCTTTCATTTCCTCCTTTTCTATCCTGGTAAAAACTAAATTTTTGCACATAAAATATATTCATTTTAAAATTGACGTAATACGCTGAGTGAAGATGAAGTGTGATTGTAATTGCTTCGGTGTTTGTCGAAATAATGTCCCCTGTCAATATTTTTATAAATCGTGACCGACAAACATTAATTCGTGGTGATGAAGCCGCACCACGTTCACGGTTCGTCATTCTAGTGTAAATCCGGCGTAAATTATTACTTGTCCTCGTTGTTGTACCATCATGCATGCAGTGACGATGGGTGACTATTTTTTTTTATGTATAGCGTGATACGTATTGATATAACTAACATTTTGAAAATGTATGGTTGAATTTGTGCGTAACAATAACGTCTGAATATGGAATTATCGATTTCATTCACCACAAAAAAATTGGACGGAAGATCCAGTTGACGTTATTCAAACTTCCTGTTTTTTTACATCGTTTTGTGCAGTTTTGGTGCTGCATAAAATGAAACATGAAAAAAACTATTAACTTGTTTTGGTATTTTATTGTTGACAAAATACAAAATTACATAGTATGATAGCTAAAGTTACATAAATTTTGTCACTCATTTATGGTTTTTAAATGGTCATACCCATAAAATTAGATTACGGTGTGAGGTTCTTAAATGGCTAAATATAGTTATAGACAGGCGCCATTCCAATGTTACGATTATTGAATTAATTCAACATCTCGGAATTACCATATAACTTTCGCCGACTCATTATGCTTTTAATTAACAGGCGATATTGTCGAGGGAATAGGTATAAAACGAGCGCGTCGAATAGCTCCTTAAAATTTCCGCCATATCAGTTTCACTTTTTCACTAGACTTTCCTGTT